ATATTCACGGCTTGTAAAAAAAATGAAAAGACAGTTAAAATCCTAAAATTCCTAGAGGAAAATATACTTATGTTGTATTGCGTAAATAAATGTCCAAAACACTGTATTGAATGTGTGTTGTGGTTTATTGTCTGCATCAAAACGCTAATGAAAGTTTGAAAACGTTAATAAATCCACGCAAACATATTCATGATTGTCAAATTCAATGCTAATTTTCTTAATGAACGTTCCATCGCACTATTGAGACTCCGTTCGCCTTATTGTATGCCTGTTCGCTCTAATGACAATGCTTCTTCGCTTCAATGAGTATTCCTTTGCGGTTAATGAACAGCAAAAGGTGTACTAGGAGCAGTGTATTCCCAGATAAGAAGCCCAATTGGTAGGTAGGAAAATTTTAAAACTTAGTTCGATACCTTTATACAGGATTGTCTTTTCCGTAAGAATTTCACGGATTCCATCCTCCATGTTTACTGGAATGGCGATTTCAGAATTTATGATTGTAACGTCTGTTGTAAGCGCTGGTTCTTCACGTTCAACGGTGCTGAATGCAAGACTCCTCGTGCTATTGACGGTACCTTGTACTTGAGAAAAGGAAAAGGCACTGAAGATATTCACCGTGTGCGCCATATTGAGGGACACTGTGACAAGATCCACAAGGGACCTGTTCGTGTGGGCTTCAATGTCGGGAATTGTGCCGGGTATGGAACTGCTGACGCCCATACCGGGTGGAATTCAAACAGTCGTCTGTTCGTAGAGGAAGTACCCAGGCCCCAGCAGTGAGATCTTCCCTTCCTTACCAGTCCCTATAGCTAGCTCATCATACAGTATTCAATCAGTCTGGCTGTTAATTCTATTGATAACCAGGCTGAATGAATAGTGAATGAAAAGTCATGTAAAAGGACATTTGTTAGACATGAATTTAAGATAATGACATGCAATTTGATAATTGAATGCTGTAAGTAAGTTACTGATAATGAGAAATAAAGCATTAATCGGAATTCACAACAAGGGCCACACGCAGATAACCTATAGAAATTTCAAAAAACTTTGATTCTGTCAGCTTCAGAGCTAACCTATGTTCACAAAACTGGGATATTATAAGGTCATTTGATAATCTTAATGATATGTGGCTTGCTTGGAAGAAAATGTTCAATAGCGTAATTGAGAGGCACGCCCCGCTGCGCACGAAACGCGTAAGGGCCTTAAAATCGTCCTGAGACACGCCTCAGTTTTAAAACAGCGTATGCATGAAAGGAGAATTCAAAACATCAAAGCGGTTCGCTCGGGTGACCCTGAAGATTGGGCGACTCTCAAAAAAATCCGCAATTCTGTGAACTCCGAAATAAAAATTGCAAAACAAGCTCATTACAATAACGCTTTCTATGAAAATGAAAACAATTCAAAAAAGACTTGGAGCATCATCAATGAACTGACTTCACGTAAACAAACTAGTTCTCACATCAAATAAATCAAATTGAATGACTTAACAATTACTGACTCCCAGAAACTCTCTGAAGAATTTAATAATCATTTCGCCAGCATTGGACCAAAACTTGCTGCGAAAATAGATTCAAAAAATGCAAACAGTCGTTCTTATTTAGATTTTATTACGAGTCAATCACTTAGTGCTAGTTTTACATAATTGAAACGAACGAACGCCTCCACAGTCTTTCTCCTTTTGTCCAGGCTTTGTAAATCAAAAGCTACTGGTCTGGACAAAATATCTGCTAGGCTTCTTCGTGAATGTCCTGATATAATAGCGGAGGCTTTATGCATAATTTTCGATTGCTCCATCGATACGGGCATATTCCCAGACGAATGGAAATGTGCTAAAGTTCTACCATTATTCAAACAAGGAGAGCGAAGGGACATGGACTATTATCGTCCTATTTCAATAATCCCTATCGTGGCAAAAGTTGTTGAGACGATCATTTACGATCAAGCCTATGTTTTTCTTTCCAATGATAATCTTCTTTCAAATTACCAATCAGGGTTCCGATGCCTCCATTCTACGGTAACTGCGCTTCTTGAGGCCACAAATAACTGGGCTTATAACATCGATCGCGGCAATTAATGTTAATGCGGTGGTTTTCTTGGACCTCAAGAATGCATTCGATACCGTGGATCATAGAATACTGCTTCCAAAACTAAGAGCATACGGCTTTGGAGTCTCTGCAAGTAAATGGTTTGATTCGTATTTAAGCAATCGTAGTCAAAAATGTCTAGTAAACGGACATCTCTCGGATAGCCATTCATTAATTCGTGGAATTCCCCAGGGGACAATTCTAGGGCCCCTGTTATTTCTCATTAACATAAATGACCTGCGAAATTGTCTTGAATATTCCAAGCCACGTATGTAAGCCGATGACACCCACTTAACGTTTGCAAGTAATAATATCAAAGATGTAAATTGCTTTCTAGACCGAGACCTTCAGAAAGTTACTGAATGGCTCGTTGCGAACAAACGAGCTCTTAATCAATCCAAGACAGAATTCATGTTGATTGGATCCCGTCAAAGAATAGTATCGTTTGGTTCACTTCCATTTTTATCAATTGACGGGGTCCCCATAAAACAGGTTTCCTACACAAAATCTCTCGGTGTACAAATTGAACAAAATCTGTCTTGGAAGAACACATCGACAAAATATCCAAAAAGATTGCGTCCGGCATCGGAGCCCTGAAGCGTACAAGGCCCTTCTTCCCAACTTCAACTCTACAGTTTATCTATAGTTCTTTAATCCAGCCACATTTTGATTACTGTTGTGTTGTGTGGGATAACTGTAGCAAAACCCTCACTGACAAGCTTCAGAAACTGCAAAATCGTGCAGCGAGGGTTTTGACATTCTCTAGTTATGATGCTAGTGCCGACCCTCTCTTTCGGAAACTTGGATGGAAAAAACTAGAAGTCCAACGAAAAATACCAAAAGCTGTTATGGTCTATAAATCACTGCATGATCTCACTCCAGTATATCTGAGTTCTGTTTTTATCGATCGTAGAAGCATGACAAATTATTCTTTGAGAAACGTCGAGGGCAAACTAGCTATTCCTAGGCCACGCACCAATTATCTAAAGAACAGTTTTAGCTATGATGGTGCAGTGCTGTGGAATAGCCTTCCATGTGAGTTGCGGCAAGCGAGCACCCTGAGTCAATTTCGAATAGGCTGCAGCAACTTCTTCAATTAATTTTCTATACACGTAGTATATCCGGCACTCTGGCTGGCTGGCTGGCTGGCTGGCTGGCTGGCTGGTTGGCTGGTTGGCTGGTTGGCTGGCTGGTTGGTTGGTTGGTTGGTTGGTTGGTTGGTTGGTTGGTTGGTTGGTTCGTTGGTTGGTTGGTTGGTTGGTTCGTTGGTTCATTCGTAATAATCAATAAATGATTTCTGT